GTGAGAGCATTCACCAACAAAATTGGCTCATTCTACAGAGAGTTTCCAGTAGTAGCTTCAGAGTACATCTATAACCCATCACAACTGAGTGTCTTGATGCAGATTAGTCTAATACCACGTTTCCGAGTTTCCATTTCCATAGTGATTAAAGTCTTCAAGAGGGCTATGCTTTTATAAATGCTATTCTTCTATCATACCATCTAACACGCTTGACTCATACTAAAAAATAAAATCACCAATGTTTTTGTAAAGAGCCTGAACGATGTCAAAACGAGGCACGACCTAGCTATTGTCCCTTAGTGTTTGAAATCAGTCTCTTTGGAAATATTCTCCGACAGTGGAAATCCCAGAACGTGATGATGGAAAGGATGATAAGTGGAATTACATACTCTGCAGGGGCATGAAAGAGGAGTGAGATGGTTTGAATCAAGTTCAAGTTTCAAGCCAACGGAAAGCAGCTATTCTGGCTGTTGATATGAAACACATTGAAATCCAGATCTATAAGGTGTTACAAGGAGAGGAAGAGGAAATCTTCTTACGTGTGCTAGGACATTTACTTAAGCTCAGCCCTCTTTTGTAAAAATCACCTGCTGACTCCAGTGAGCCATCCTGGTCAAAAGAATTATTCATCCCCTTTGGAATCACGGCATCGACAGTGGCAATCACTTAAAACTTCACAGGGGATACAGCACTGCATGACTGCCCTATAAACTTTTCTGGGTTTAGTCTCATCTATTAAATGGAAATCTTTTGCATCATCCATCAGTTTGAATACTCTTGTCTGAATTTCTTTCATTTGCTTAGAGATAAAAGTGATCATAACAGAAATATTCTAAAAGAATACTTACAAAGCCACATTATGGCTGTTCTGCCACCTTCCAAAGTTTATTTTCTTTCTTCTTGGTCTGCCCCTGTCTATGGTTTTCAAAGAGCAGCTGGTAATAATGTTTAAATTACAGCTCATATGAACCTATCAACAGATATTTCTTATTTAAATATGCATTTTTAATATTGCCTGCAGCTGATTTTCTCCTCTCATCATGCTAGAGAATGATTACTTTTTCTTTTCTAATGGGTTTGTCTCCTTTTATCTCTGTTATTGACTAACCAGAATATTTGGACATATACACATTTTCTATATCACTGTTTACCTAGTTATTTTTCCTATGCATTCATCAATGTTTTTGTGATTAATATTAGTATGTATTTGTAGAAACAGAAAGAGAGATAGAAAAAATATAAAACAAAAAGTAAGGAAATAGAAAATAAAAAGTTTTTCTTTTTTTTTCATCAGAAAGACAATTTATAAAATGCTGGTCTTCAGGACATCTGACTAAACCTACCTTTTAGTTGAGAAGTATGCAAGTCTCTCTCCCTATATTTTCTCATTAGTTCCTAACCCTGGAAAGTATTTTACTGGTGATAACATTTTTTTTATAACCATCAAAGAATGGCTGTATTTTTCAGAGATGGTTTTAAGAAATTCTTCTTCTGTCTGCTATTTTAACTAATTTACCTAAAGCTGGTTTTATGTGTTTGTAATTCTTAGGGCTTTCACATCTCCTCCAATCTCAAAGCTAAATATGCTATTACCTATACTCTTCACTCTACTCGATTTTGGTAATAGGTAGTGTATGTGTATTTTGCAGCATCTCACATACTTGGTTTTTACATTCATTTTAACTTTTCTGTTTCTGATTTATTGCTTCGCTGTCTAAGAGCTCCCAGGTACTAATGTATCATTATAACAACCTTGTTACAAGGAGAAGGATTGTTTAATTCTGTGCTTTTGATGTGAAGCTACTTAGTTATCGACATGAAGTATTTGGAGGAACTGAAGAAGTTTCCTGTGGTACCTTGAATTCTGTGTTTCAAACTGCCTTGATGATGAAGGGATTCAGAACCTGTGTGTTGATCATATTTATCAATTTGTTATACATCACCTCAGTTTAATACTTCATTTTTATTACATGTGAAGGACTGTTTTAGGATAGGACTATCCCATTGCTGATTACTGACGACTAATGCAAAGAGTTCCCTGGATTACCCTCATCCTCTGATCTTCTAATGTTTAACCTGCCCACTTCTTTGGAATTTTTTTCCACTGCTAGCAATACCCAAGTAGTAGGTTTCTTTCTTAATCTATATTTGAGACAAGGAAATCAGGGTCACGATTACGTTTGAGAACAGCTTTGATTGTGCAGTAGTGTTCTACAAAGATCCAAAGAAACAAAATCCTGCATCGTCATGTAACATTATTTAGAATAAAAGAATAATTTCATAAGCTTTCAGCAGCTTATGAATGACCACGAGCAGAAGATTTCTGCATGTAGTTATGAATTTCCAGCAAGGGGCTACCACAAGGAATGATAATTTTGTTTTTTCTACACTGCCCAATGCATGGAAGGCTCTCTCTGCAAATTGATGAATCTTCCAGGGGCCACCCCTCACAGGGTTTTGTTAGTAAGTAATGAATTTCTAAGATGTGACGAATCAATACTTTGATGACTTTCTTTATACTTGATGCTCATAGCCCAGCTGTAGCATCTTTATTTTGTGTCCTAGAAAGCTTACTGTGCTAGAGTTTACACCTATATTTGATGTATTTGTATGGCACATACCACGGGGAAAACATTAAAAGGAGCAACAAAATATTAGCATGTGAATAACAGTTAATATTTTGTTAATAAAGCTTGACATGAACATTTGCCAAAGCCATGGCATTTTTAAATTTTTTACACGTGTAATGTCAAATTAGCATGAAATGGTAAATAGAGCTGCAATGCTCTTTTGTGGAAGTAACTCATTATCTTTCACTTAAAAGCCTGCAATGGTGTGAGGTTGAAAACCAACAAAACTCAAACCTTTGCCTGAATGAAAATTATCCCATGTTTCTCAAAAGTGTTACCAAAAACTGTATTCCTTTGCCACAGTCTGTTTAACTTCAACTGCGTGCCAATTTACAAAAGTATTTTATAGTTTTCTGGTTACTTTCACCAGTAACCAAACACAGTCTTGACCCTTTTCCATACATGAAAACAGCCAACCGTGAGTGCAGCGATGGGAGGTCTGGCCTTTCAGGTATGTCAGCTGAAGACCACCCTACTGGAAGAGGTAACAAGAACAAAAAACCGAGGTCAAACAAGGCAGCCCCATGTAATTAGATACTAATAGTGGATTTAGGGTGTAAAATTCACTTAAAACCATACACCAACAGACTAAACAATCCCAGTAAGAATGGCAAGTTTTGTTCTAAAAAAATGTTTTTAATACCAGAAAGCATAAATAAAACATACATAATAACCTTGACTGACAGACTGCACTAACCTGCAGTAACATCTGCTTCCAAATTATTTGCTATAGGTTTGGGACAGTATAATTATAAAACACTGAAACTCTACTGTAACTTAACAGTGCAGTGTGCATCCAGTTTAATGACTTTATTATTGGATTAACTTATTGTCCCAATAACAATATTTAGAATTTAAATTCTGACAAGAAAACAAATTCCTTTCTTAAACAGTCAACAGCAAAACCAAAAATGCAAGCCTAACTGTATGTGATGCTTATGGGGAAACATGCTGAAGTAGATGCTGAACAAATAGGCAGTTGCTTTTGCAGGGTACGATGGGTCAAAGTAATTAATACAACAAAGTTCATTTCTGTTGGCCGTTTCATTTTGTGTTAATTGCTGATGCTTTTGCAGGGTGGATGTGGTACCTTTACATGCCACAGACTTGATCTGATAGAGCAGCAAGATCCATCATGAAGGAAATGGTATTTCTCCAGCTAACGTGAGTATCTGCTAGTCATCTTCTCTTATTGTTGCTGGGGCCCCTGGGTCATGTTGAGGACTGGCTTTTTTGCTGTCTTTCCAGATTCCCTAATATTTTCATAGCTCTAGTTGCTCTGCAAAGAACCTGAAAGTGATCACATCTCAAGAAACTCTGGTTTGATAGTTTTCATTTATCCTCATTTCAACTGGTAAATTAATCTGAGTAATTAAACCAATCATATTAATTCTGTGTCTTAAAAATCATTTGAGTGGGATTTATAAGCCTTTTGGAAACAATGCTTTCAGAATTGTTAAAGAATTTAGTGTATTTTTGGCACGCAGTCCGAGGACAGAAGGCTTCTTTCACTGGTGCTCCAAACCTCCCCAGGGAGGGAGACAGTGTAAATGCAGGGGTATGGAAGGATGTCGAAAACTAGTAAGCAGTGACAAAACTCAGACCCACTGAGGACTCAGTCCTCCATATTCTTCCCCACTGGTGGTATCTCCTGTATAACAGAAGAGATCTTTGGGAAAGACTGAATTTCTCCCTCACAGATTATGGCAAACCTGAAATTGAGGAAGTGAGACTGGAACTGATTGGTGATGGCTTGTCCACTAGCTAGTACTGTCAAATTATTTTCTGTAGTAGCTTTTCAGTATACAGATTAGGTATTGTCAGCCAGTACTAACCTTTTGAGCCAGCTCCCATTGTGCACTGTCGCACTGCAGTGGCAGGTAAAGAAGCAGTAGCGCTGGGGAGAATTCCAGCATCTGCCTTCCGTTGATGCTACGTAACCTCTGTGGTACCTACAAGTCATTCCGCTTCAGAACTACCAGGAGCACCTTTCACCTGTACTGGTCCATATGCGTCCACATTAAATATGTCTACACTTATGTGAAAACATGCGAATAATGTGAATCTAGCTGGGAAAGTGGGCAGCATTTAGCATAATGTTGAAGAGGAAAAATTTCCAGAATTTAGTGTTGGTTACACCTCTGTTGTGCTGACATTCACTTTCTATGAGACAGTGATTACTTTTAGTGAATCTATTCTGCTTGCTGCTGATGGTACATTTGCTTTTAGGAAGCCCCATGCACTGAGAATTTCCCTTCTTACTGAGTGTCAGTATTGCATAATTCAGCTACATGGAAAGAACTACATTCACCTTTTGTTTTTTAACCTGTCAAAGGAAAGACTGATCTTGGTGAGAAATGCGATGCTCACCTTTTTGGGTCAATGATCTTGTAGAGTTTTCCGCTGTGAGGCTGTGTCATACTTTTACTGCTTGATAATATGTAAATCTCACCTGTTAAAGAAAGCAATGCAATAAATTAGTTCTCCTTTCCTAAGATGTCAAATACATGACTTTTGTGATCTAGTTGTATTTGCAAAATGAGATTAAAAAACTTCAGAAGAAACACTTCTCACTGAAATATACAACGGAATCATTGCTATTTGAAAATTTACATATGCACTTTCCCCAAATTGATGCTAAAATGTGAAAGATACTTTATCATGATTGTTTTTTGTTTCATATGGTATAGAATTGGTTTAAAAAAAATAAAATTGAGGAGGAAGGAAGACAAAGGGGATTGGTCTGCTCATGCAATATCTTTGCCCCTTAAGTCTGTAATGTTGGGAATAAAAGCAAATATATGACACATCATGTCATAGTACGTGACACAGTTCACAGAACGTGAAGGACAGTAAGGACCTTTGTCCCTTCCAACAACCCATTCTCTTCTCAGTTCTTCTTACAAGGCTGCTAAGGTGTGGCTGAAAGCAGTGTAGACAGCTTTGGCAAAGGAAAGATAGTCTTTAGATTTCTTCTTTTTAAACATTTACTACTATTTTGAATAGTTAAGTAGGCATGATCAATAAGGCTTATGATTTTATAACTTTTTTTTTATTTATTTACCTAATTCGTCTTCACCAAATCCCAAGACAGGGCCTGAAAAGAAACCTCTACATGAACCAGTGTTGCCAAGACAGAGGGGTTTCTCTTGCCACTGTTTGGTTGCAGGACTCTGTTGCAGTGTTAAAAAATTTCTATATTCAAAAACACATAAAGCAAATTGTTATATTACATTTTGCATAGAGAGTTTTCACTGTCCATATAAATAAGTAAACACTTGCTGCAAGTAGCTCCATAGATGCATCTGTGCAGTTCTTCATCTTATGATTTCCTGCCTGTTATTTTTCAGATGCTTAAAAAGCACAGCATTTCCCTTCCTGTCATTCAACTGTTGCAAAATTGGGTTCAAGCTAGACTATATAGCTATTTGTGAATACTGTGCTATTTGGCATGGGAAAACTATGCCCATTCATTAAAAAAAAAACCACATTAATTTTGCTCCATCAGTGATGTTTCCATAAAACCCCCAAAGTTGTCAATGTCTTACCAGTTAGACCTGTTCAGGAAACAGTTCCACAATTAACATTTATTCCCATCATAATGTAAATGATGCATGTAAGTGTTTGCAGAACTAAAATCTTAAGAGTGCCGTGATGTGTCTTTGTCTGTGCTTTTTTCCAAGGATCAGATGTGTGACATATCTCACCATTCATTAGAATGCTGTGCTATTTTATTTCCAAATCTAGAATTTAATCTGCAATGTCACACCACTAAATTGGCAAAGTGACACAATATACAGGACAGGAAGCTCAATAACTAAATACACCTTATACACATTTTTGTTTAAGAAACCTACCCATTGCGGTCTCCAAATACATAGCTTCCATAGAGTCTTTCAGACTGGCAGCCTCGATAGACAAATCCACCAACCAAGGATCCACTGCTGAATGGTTTGAATTCTAAAAGTGAAGGCTCACTTTCTAAAAAGGAACTACCGTAGCATTAGATCATATGCAATTTTGTATTTTGATTCACATTTATGAAAATGGTATTACTTCAAGAAAAGAGGTTAATTCCATTTAAACATTCCTCAAAATGCAAGATGTGTTGCCGGAAATGAAATATGAAAAAAATCAGAAAAGCACAACAAAGGCTGTTTGTGAAACAATCGGTTAGGGATTTAGATAGAAGAGGCTATCATTGGTTTCTTCCGTGTGCACAGGCTGGGAGAATAAGACTATATAAGGATTAGGTTGGATTTTCGTTGAAGTTGATGTGATTACTGCTATTAAATTTTAAGTGCCAATACAGTCTGCAGAATGGATCTCTTGAACTTCAAGTATTTAATTAAACCCCCTTCACTGTAAAGTCCTTCCAGTATCTAAAAGCAGAAATTCCAGTGATTTTCAGCAGAACTTGTTCTCAAAGCCATTCAATGGTTTGAGAAACTCTTTCAAAATCAGAGTTTTAAACACGGTATGTCTGTTACGTCTGATAAAACACTAGTATTGCTGGCTGTAGCTTCTTGTGCTAATTTATTTTGTACTGCTGTTGCAGTTGCAGTTCCTACACATACTTTTTTCCTTCTTTACAAAACTGCAGAGTTGATTTATATCAAATAATGTCTTCAAGGAAGTTTCAGTGTAGATGTTCCTATTCATGCACTCAAATGCTGCTTAGAGTAAAAGTAGGCTCAACTTGACATGCTAACTGCATAATTTTAAATTAAAGCCACAGCCAAGAGACCATTTTGTTTTATAGGAACTTTTTTTTTAGTTGGATGGCTACTTGCAAGTCCTTGATAAATGAATTTCCCAGATTATTCTACAAGATTAAGAGTTGAAATTTTATGTGGGAGAAAAGGATGATAAGCTCTTTTCATTGAAGCAATTGACCTACAACCTAGTATTAATATTGGCAAGCTGTTCTGGATAGACACAATATTGCTTAGTTTACTCTGCAATAAAGATGCAGTCAAAATTCCATTGGAGCAGTGGTTTACCAAATATTATTCTTTGGTTTGGCTGTTATAAAATGAACACAGAAAATACATGCAATAACTAAAGTAGAACAACTGCATCACGCTGTTGTGTACTATTGTACTAGCCAGCACAGCTGCTTTGCTTTCATGTAAAGTACAGGTGGGAGAACTAGGGTTGTGAATAAAATCAGAAAACGCTACGTTCCAGGAGATAGACCAGTTCTTGATGCCTTTACACATCTTTGGCGTTAATCACCTTTTACCACGGTGAATTTACAAGCTGCTAAATGGTCAGCCAAGGTAGATGGTAGCTCAGAGTAACTGTCACCTGGCTTGCCTGAACTAGCAAGAGGTCTTGGTGAGTATCAGAGTTAAGCATTAAACTGAGATTGTGACTGACAATCACACTGATTCAGAGAGCACATGAAACACTTCACATTCACAAACTGAGTACGTTTATCTTTTTGCAATCTAATCTAAACTACTTGTTTATTATGAAGTAGTAGCATAGTGCATTTTTCTAAGTTTTACTTTTTAGTAACATTTAGACAGAGCTCAGTCATTTCCCTGTTTGGTTGTGGTCTGTTGTTGTCTATCTCACTTTTTCCATTATAGGAGGCACATTACATGAGGTTTCCATTCTGTATCTTAAAAGGTTATTTGTGAATGGCTAAGAATATATTTTCATCACTTCCTGATATTCCAAAATCTTTTCTTTATGAGCCATCTATGCAGCAACAGTGAGATCTTTGACAGACTAGCAACTGGCATATTTCTTTAATCTTATTTACATGATATTCTACACCCACAAGAACAAAGTTGAGTCATTTAAATTTTGTTTTGTCTGGGATCTTGTATCTGCTTGTACCATACTTTCCATAAGTTCTATCTTTTGGAGGTTACCTATCCTGTCTATGCAGTCCTTTATCTATTTTTTTCTGCTTTCTATTTATTATTCCATGGGCATAGAAACTGACTGTTCCCAGTAGCTTTACCCTGGCTGGAACTTACCATAGTCTTTACCCTTTATTATTTGTAAGATTCTTGCTGAAGATCTGTTCTTTCCATTTGAATCTGAGCAAAGAATAGTTAAATTGATGTTTACATCTGTTGGGTGGCGGTCCACAGCACATCTGTACAACAAAAAACATAAGAAAATCCACAAGATAGATGAGCGCATATAATTCTCTATCAATAGTATGAAGCATCGCATTTTGAAGGATTATTGTTCCTTTGTGGTGCCTTCTCATTTAAGGGACCTGTTTCATACTGAGCCAGAATATCTGAGAAGTGCGTCAGATTTGTATACAAGAGATAATATACCTTTCCCATCCCTGCATCATTTTTTATATAATGTGAAGTAAAACTATTTTTTCCTAGCGATAAAATGTACTCTGTTCAACAGCACCTGAAATTAATAATGCTTTAACCAAGCTAAATGAGTTAACTTACATGGTGTAGGAATTTTGTACTGTTAAAAAGTCCAAGAATCTACTTCTTATCTGAACAACTTGACTTTCTGAATTTTTTCAAACCATGACTTTAAATGTCACTTCAGTACTACCACCCACCTAATTTGCTGAATTATGTGTTGTTTAGTTAAAGCGTTCTTCTCCTTCTTGTTATTGTTTAGATACCACCAGATGTTCTCATTTGTTTTCCACGTGCCTTTTTTTCTCAATCAAGATTCTACTGCTCTCATTTCTCAGATTCCCATCTGAGCTGTACTTTACCAACTCTGTGCTTTAAATTTTCTTCTTTCATAAAGGTAAAAATTTTATTATTCATTAAAAACACAAATCCTGTACTTTGATTCTGTCATTTCAGTCTTGTAATAGTTGTGCATTCTCCTCTCCTTCCCCTTTGCCAATGCACATTTGCTTCTAACCGTGACATGTATGTGGAGGTGGAGGAGTGGAAGTTTTAAAAAGTTCACGAGTGCCTTTATTACTAAAATTTTGTTACCCGACTGTACAAAAGATTTCTGGTTGAAAAGAGTATCAGCTCCAGAGTAATTCAGTTTAATTGTAACTTACCGTCCTGGATTGTGGAGTCCATGTGCAAAAATCTCAGGAGGTTGGTTTGTACTGTTAAAATGTGGGTTGCTCCGTGGTATGGAATAAGGGACATTGCACAGGTCAGTATTTACGTCAAGGCGCAATACAGAACCTGTAAAATCACTGAGAAAGTTGGAGGATAAAATAATTGTTTTTTAAAAGTATTTTACTGGTAGATTTAATCCAGGTAATACTACAGTGAACCAGCAAAATAAACCACCCACTTTACTGAATACTCACATCTAGATTGAATTTATGGTACATGCAAGTCCAAAGAATAGTAGCAGAACCTATCAGAGATTCAGTTTGACCAATATGTTGCCTTGTTATGTGCATACTACAATGCCTCTGACCGTGCTGTGGGGAAGCAACTTGATAATAAGAGCAACTTTCCATACATCAACATTGTTTTATGCCTCCAAATATAAGGCTATTAAATCTTATATACTGTATTTCCTCTAGAGTAACTATGATAATAATCACTATGTAGTTACATAATGCTTTTTGCTAACACTGAATCCTACTCTTGAATTCAATGATTTCTAGTCACAGTACAATCCAAAAATTAATTATACCTTATTTTATTTTTTTTAAAAGAAAGTAATTGTATTGGTTTAATGGAGATACTGGTATTTTTGGTAAAGAATCAGAACTTTCTTGTTACATGAAACAGGACAGAGGAAGAAATTTTGCTTTACATTCATGATTGTGATGGAGGAAGGGAGAAGGACAAGAATGTAGAAGAGCATCAAAACTCTTTTTACAAACATGAATAGACCTGATATTTAAATTGATTCCTTTCTGTCTGTCTTCATCATGTACCTGTTTCAGTCTCACCTTGTTTTACATTAATTTAAAATCAAGTATTAGAATTGCTCTCTGATCTTGGCTTTAAGTGTATCCTCACTGCAAAGGGCAGGAGCACCTGCTATTCTGCTGAGCCAAAGAGGCCTTTGAGCACAGCAACTCCTTTTAAGTCTGTAAAGGCTCAGTACCCCATTTTCTCTAAAGGCAAATTTTGCAACTCTAGCAGAGCATAATGAAACAGAGGGAAAAAACAGGTTGAGAAAACTGTATAGGTAGAACCAAAGTAGGATTGCTTCATATGTTATCTAGACATTTTCCCAAGTGGTACAGTGTTCTTATTGATGCTGGTATGTGTTTGTAGACACATTTTTTAGAATGTGTACTCAATAAAGTTGTCTTGTTCATACAATAATAGTTTGGAAAAAAGAAGTCTAACCTGTGCATAAATACAATTCCATCTACTGGTGAGGGCTCCAATATTTAAATGGTTTGACAGCACACAACTCCAAGAAGATGTATTTAAGCAGTAAGACTGTTCTGCAAATCAGCAGTTTGCTAAACCCAGGCACTGAAAATAGTGGGATTACGTAGTAAAGGAAGGGGGAGTAAGATTTGTCCTGACAACTGCTGACAACTTTTGATTCTGACCCCAAATACTGTGCAAAACCAGAAGACAATAATAGAAGTCTTTCCATTGGTATTTTTTGTACCTTAAACCATCCATCTCCTCCATATCATCTAGAGTGATCATGCCATCTCCGAGAAAAATGTATAGGAAACCATCTGGGCCAAACAGAAGCTGTCCTCCTAGGTGTTTTCGATGTAGTTCTGCTACTTCTAAAAACACTCTTGCTGTTCTCATATCAACTTGGTGTGGATTTTTCCTGCAATATAAAGATATGAACACAGTTTTGACAGTTCACTATCATTGTTCTTCTTTCTAAAAATAAACTTGAGTCATTCAAATTATACTTTAAGATGTGGATGTTGTAACTTGGTGGAAGAATGTCAAATAATTATTTCTGAGAAATTTCAATATTTCAGCATTCACAAAAAACTATTTTGCTGCCTATACACAATAACTAGGAAACAACTGTAATTAAAAAGTGACAGAATAACAAAAAAAAAGTCTTAAAAAGAATAAAACAGTGCACTCACTGGCGTTCCAAAACTACCGTTTGAAATAAAATCAACAATAGTTTTTCTGCAAGTGCCCAAGTATACACACTGTAAATCTGACAGTTCATTTTAGAAATGGGAAATACTAACATGACAAGGTTGCTGAGAAATACCGAATTTGTGAATTTTAGACTTCTACTGATACCTGGACACTGTGTATTCTACGACCCTAAGGATGTGGTCGTGAGGTCCAATAGCCCACCGTTCTTGGTTGGTGGTATAAGACACATACAGCTTTCCATTTTTCTTGTAATTGGGATGGAATGCAAGGCTTAACAGTCCTCTTTCATCTCCTCCCTGCAGTCAAATGAAAAACACAAAGAATTGTGAAGTTAATTATGTTCTTTATTGTGTTTCAGCTGGAACCCCCCAAAAAAAAGTTTCTTTCTTGTGGATAATCTTTGCCCAAACTCTTTTATTTCTTTCCTGACTACTGCACAAAAAGGATTATAAAACATTTCACTTTGGGGAACTCTTTAAGAGTTAGAACAAGACAATTGTCTTATGTAGTTATCTATGCACAAGTCTCTTACACCACTTTTGTGGAGTGATTTGTGTATGTAATCTTTGGGAAGCCATGAAGACAAGTTTAAGTACTGTGAAGGATTCTTTGCTGGGTTACTAGGTTGCTTGTAATTCGTAGAAGACAAATAAAAAGGTCTATAATCAGCAGTCACTTCTAATCCAAGTATCCAAAACCTAAAACACAGTGCTGGCTGCCAACTCCCACTGTCTTGGCAATATGTTTAGAAAACAGTTAAATTGCTTGTGTAATATGTAAACCTTTGTTTTACCCTGGAGGCAGCAACATCAGTTGTCACAACTATGGTGGTCTGTTCATCATAGCTAGTATACTGTAGGTAATAAGCAGCCTTGGTCTCTGTGCAGAGAAACCATAGTTTTACATGTGGTCCTTCAATGGAAAGGGTTTTGTTATTTTTTAAAATAAAAATAGAAAAATCTCCGAACAACTTACTTTTGTTATTATGTTTGCCACAAAGATTAGTACAGTTATATGTTAAGCATCAAATCCATGTAATGTACTGTGACAATGCAAATACCCTGTGTACTTAAATAGAAGGCAATTTTCTCTTTGGCTTCTAAAAATGTATGTAATACTGCTATGCCTAAAATTGTATTTGTATAAATGAAGAATAAAACTTAGATTAAGTTGAGGGGGAGAGAAGCTGAGACATAGAAATAAACAGAGTACATAATACATGATTCAAATTCAATTCATATATGTGATTATTCACAAGCTCATAGTTGTTTTGGAGTTTAACTCAGGGTTTGCCTTTCAAAACTAGTGACTCTGTTGTAGATTCAAGTGCTCCAGGTCTGCACCCATAAGGAGACAACGTTTTGCAAGTCTAACCACACCCATGATAACTAATTATGAAATTTTAAATTATAAGAGAGAATGAAGCTTTGAAAATGTATTTGCAATTCAGAATGATGGATGGGCCTGTCTTCCTGTTGAAAGACGTCCCACAAAAGGCCTAATTGGGAAAGTGCACAGCTTTAATTTATTTTAATTCAATGTGATTGCCATACTTCCTTTTTAATCACAACCACCAAAGAGAAACCTGAGTCAGAAATGGAGATGTAAATAGGTCAAGAGATTTCCATACAAAGAGATTTGTACAATGAAATCTGGATCCTGCTCATTTAGAGGCAGCCAAATGTTGCTAGTTTGTTTGCTAGAAAAATTTAGTTTCAGGAGCTTATCGGAGAGGTTAGTTTTGAAAGTCTAGTTAGAGCTGCCAAATCAGTTGCAGTCATCACGGATGAAGGGACTGGTAATCTAGCTCTTTCTCCTTTATGAGCCAAACATAATTCTGCAGCTGAGCCTGAACTGATAGTAGATATTATTGTATGAGTTTCTAAGAGTTTTGACCAAGTTGCTCTGATAAAGTCTGAAGCAAAGGGAGGCACATCAGTTGCTTTGGGAACAGTAAGGCATATTTCAAAGATTCCTGATGAATGATTCTATCTGTTGTGCCCAGACAAAGACAGTCCTATTCCTTCTCCTGAGAGATGGGTTCAACTCATTTAAGGGCCCAGGAATGTCAATGAGTCACACCAGGCCTGCCATTCAAGGTGAGTTATTGAAAGTATTAGTAAGAAAAGATCTTTCTGTTAGTAAGGTGAAGATTTTATTTAGCACTTGATGCCATGGGAGCAGTTTCAGTGTGAAAGTGAAGTTGTTGAAAGCATAAACAGGTGAAAATTAAATTAAGAGGTTTTAAAGAAGTACACATAAAGCAAGAATTTGACAAATGAATGAAACCTGCGAGGGAAGAAGTATGGTCGTTGTATTCATAGGATCAGGCCAGTATTTCTACTAATTGCTATCTTGCATGATTCTATTAGACTGCAATATATTACTTACTTTGTTTGTATCTATTTGGATCTATAATGTATCTATTGCTTCCTGAAGTCTCACTGCTTTCTGTTTTTCAAAGTGAGCCAGACACACTATGTTCTGAAAAGTCTATTTACTCTTGCATTTAATAAAAACTTTGGAAATATCCTCTAAGATGCTGAAATCAGTGCAGCATCAAGCCATTAGTTGGCTTACGATCAACTAGAAATCCAGCTGTGTTTTTCCGTACTTATTTTTCTGGTTTTGGAAAACAATTGTTCATGTGTACTTTCAGCTTTATCACTAACTGTTTCCGATTAAATCACTGCCACAACTTCCATAGCTTTTGAAATGATCTTTACAGTGCCAGAAAGTATATAGTTTTCTATAGTGTTATGTCTCTTATGTTGTGGAGTAAATTGAGAGATATCCAGCAAAACCCCTTACAAGCAGTCATTTTGGTAGAACTGAATAATTATGTACCAAATTTCAGATTTTACCTATAGAATAATCCTCACTTTAAATTTTTATCAATCGACTTTTGATGTCTACTGTGAAACCAGCATCCCAGGCTTTATAGTCTTGTCTTGTAGATACCACGCATCCAGTATCTATATCTTTCTCTTGGTAGCGTAATAACTTCTTGACATCCTTTTCTTTTTAAGTTTCCCCTTAGATGAAACCAGCACCAACAAACTGTAGATGACATAGTAGCTTGTATGAGATTCTGCACTACATAGTTTGATGGAATAACCATTAACATTTGTCAGTTGTATAAGGAAGGGCGAGAAGAATGAGATGAATCTTTGTATTCTGTTGGGATGTCTGTTGAAGACAAAGAATGATGGTTGGCTGAAATGAGTGTTAATTACCTAAACATACTGTGGGCTGGGGCCAATGTGAAATCTCTATCGTAACTAAACCTGGAAGCTCACACTTCCAATGTCTGCCTATGCAGCTCTTTAGCTTCGACACTCCTGTCTTCTACTCGCAGTAATTGCATGTTTTGCACCAATACTACACTTGTTTCAAAACTGATTTTCCTTGGGCCAGATTATAAGCTTCAGCTAAGGAGTTCTGTAAAAGAAAAAACATTCCTTTAAAAACCAGTTTGGTCTAGTTTAGGACCACATGCATGACAATAATTTAATCAGAATTATATTAAGTCACTACAAATCCAAGTAAAGCTTAATTGTATGCATTAAAGTATTCCTTTACTTTTCATTTTTAAATGGTTGGTTAGGTACATTATGTCAGTTCTAGAAGTATATTACAGCAGTAAGTATTCTTAAAAGTATATTACACCTGTAAGTGTTCTCAACTGAAATATATTTTTAATACTTCTTTTTGCATTGTAATTTCTGTTGTAATATATTTACACTTGTAAAAATCTGAAACAACTGCACAACATGATCCACTTTGTATTTTGACTAACACTAAGAGGAGTAACTGTTGCACGTGATTTTTACAGAGGTGCTATTTTCATGTCAGCACTCCTTAGAAGTGGGCTCTACTTTCAATCTATGTGTTTCCAAATGTACTCTGATATATCTCTGATATTATATACAGAAGTATTATTATATTATTAAGGTATTATACTTTTTCTATAATACAAAAACATGCTGCAGTTATTTGTAAGACATGCTGTCATTTCATTATGTCAATATATGTATTATTTCCTATAGTGAATATAGAGAAATACATAGGAGTGCCTTAACTGATATTGTTAACTATTTCATTTAAAATAGGTCATATTGTAAGCATGACCCTTACTTACGTAACCTTAATAGTAATTAATTTTAGTAAGCAAAACCAGACATGACTATTTATTTCCATTACTCTGTGTGGCTTAATAGTAAACAATATAGGTAGCAGATTCTGAGTTTTCCTTTAAAATTGATTTCACAATTCACTCACTTATATAATATAGTGGTATTTATACTTAACAGCTTTTTGACCTGGGCAATCCCACTCTCATGTTGGAAATTAGTAGCAACCTTTTTTTAAAAGAGGTTGTGCTTAAAATATGTATATCCAACAGTTGTTTGTGACTTAAAATATTAACTCTAATGTAATGTCTTTATATCGTTTGTTTTCATGTATTATTATAGAGCAAATGCTGGGTAACTTTTCGAGGTAGTGTGATCACCCTTAATTTAGTTTATTTCCTATGCAACAAATACCATAACTAATATGCGTTACCATGTGTTTGATCTTAAGGAGATTTATTTGTAAAAAACATGGGGTCAGGGGTCATGGAACATCTAAAATCTCTTATCGGGCAGTACCATATGAACTCTTCAGAAAGGGATTTCTAATTAGGAGATCCCCAAAGAATCTTTGCTTATTTGAACCTTCCTTTACCGGATCTTACTGTAGGGCTGACGATCAATGTCAGGTATTTTTCTCAGCAGGAAGTGTTTGTTTAATCGACACGTTTTGGAAATTCGGTCCCAGCACAGGACAGAAACTTGACTACAGCAGAAGTAGAAACCAGCAAAAGGTCTGCTGCAAGGGCACACCTTGCCTTTCAAAGCTGCATCGACTACTTTGAGAAACACAGGGGGGGAAGTGCCTCTGACAGGTGAAAGGAGACAACAAATACAGAATGAGAAAACCAGAAACTGATTAGGCTATAGGTATGGCATAGGAATAGAGCTCCTATAGACCTCTTGGGTGTTGAGAACTCAAATGCTTTGCTATCAGAACATCTGTGGGGCCTGAGGCCTCTGGTAAGGGAAGAATTTGTAACATAAGACATTCACCTTAGGGGAAAACAATTACACTGATGTCATGGCTCAGTATAGTATACATACTAGACCCTATCTCCAAAGCATTTCCTTTTTGCTGTTGTGCTGCAAAGCTTCTTATTTTTTCTTTCTCGTTTATAAAGGGCTTTGTGATTATCTAAGGATTTTTTAAAGACATTTTC